TATGGAAGTTGTTCGTACAGCACAAGAGAATGTCTACCATTTAGATTGTTTCTCATGTGTGAGTTGTACACGTATGTTAAATACAGGTGATGAATTCTATCTTCTTCATGATCGAAAATTAATGTGCAAATCTGATTTTGAAGCTGCAAAAGCTCGAGGTCAGTATAAATATTATAATTTTGATTAATAACTTGAGGAGACCACATTAGCTTCAAACAGTAGCAGGGATTAGTTATTTCCATTAGGTCTAAATTTATTAAAAGTCTGTCTGTGGAAATTTGATACAAGTAGAGAAAGTCACAGGCCATTGTAAATAACTTCTAATTCCTTATTCTTTTAAGGAGTATATCTTATTGTTTCATTCCAGTGTGATGTTAGAGAATATAACTCGTCATTACAACTGAATAAAACCGACAAACTGGTCGAAGAAGCAGCAAAGACAGGACTCCAGGTAAACATAGACAAGACGGAGGTTATGAAAATAACCAACCAGCAACAACAACAACAGCATCAGCAACATCCAGCGCCAATCACCATCAACGGGAGGGATTTGAAGGAGGTTACTTCATTCACTTATCTAGGGAGCATTGTCTCAACTAGAGGCACACGGAACGGACGAGGATGTCAAATCGAGCGAGAATCGGGAAGGCGAGAAACACATTCATCAACCTGAAACCAATCTGGAAATCTTCTTCACTCAGCCTGCATCAATAACAAAATTTGGATTTTCAATACAAACGTCAAGTTAGTTCTTCTATGCGGATCAGAAACTTGGTGGGTCACAAAGAATATTTCCAATAGCCTGTTGCAGACCTTTATCAACAGCTGTCTTCGTTCTATACTCAAGATCAGACGGCCGGAAAGAATCATTAACAAGAAGCTATGGGAAGAAACAAAAGAAGAACCAATCGCTCAACAAATATGCAGGAGAAAGTGCAGACGGATTGGAAACTCACTGGCTGAGGAGGCCGTTGGGTGACGTCGCGCGTCAGGCCAGTGCTCGAGTGGAACCCGAAAGGGAAGCGGCGAGTGGGACGTCGAAGGGTGACATGGAGGAGATCGTGTGAAGAGGAACTGAAACAGTATGGATTAACATGGACGCAAGTGAAAAATACAACAGAAGACAGAAGCAAGCGGAAGCGTGCAGCTTAAGCCCTATGTTCCACTAGGAACCCAAGGGAACAGTAATAATAATAATTTCAACTAAATAATTTTCCTGAAGCATACTGAAACGACAAAAACCGAAGAATTCTGGTATGAACAGAGGGAACCAATCCATGTGCTCTTCTGTATAGCTAACCAAACTTTCCTTAGTGACTCACAGTCCCAAAATGCCCAGATGATAGCAGAAAGACAGCTATATTTGATAAAGTCTGTAGTAATACTAAACAATAATGATGCTATATCAAAAACGCAGAATTATCTCAACAATGCCCTGAGGCACCTACATAATCCAAGAATTTCTCAAGTACAAAACAAGTGTACTGTACAACAAAATCAGTTAACCAAAAAAATAACCGTAAGAATTACTTGGGAATCAAAGAGAATATTCCCAACTGGGTGGGACCAAAACTCTGGCGGCAAGGATCAAGAACACAAAACACTTCTCTCTGACAGTTCAAGGTCAGAATCTGCACGGTATAACCTTGAACTCATTCAAACAAAATCACAATCATAAAACAACACGTTATCATTAATAGGCCATCATTACCCAACAGTTAAGTGAAATATTAAGAAAAAGAATCAACCACAAACAAAGACGAATAATAAGGATTAAATCAAAGGAAGATATGATGTACAGGTCAAGGGAAGAAAGGTAATAATTACACCCTCAGTTAAAAACATCCTTATGAGCAATAGTACTGTAAATGTATTGTTCAGAAGGCATTTTCCAATTAATTGTTCTGCTGCACATATTGCTAACAACATATCTGATTCACTAGAAAACTTCTTAGATGTAACAGGTATTAACAAAGGCTATGAGATGGACAGATTTCAAATCAGCTCACTTATTGTGTACAGTTATGCAATACATGTAACGACAGAAGACAAGGGTCAGCCAGCAGTTCGTTTACTGAGAAAATGAAGAGATTATATAGATCTTTATGTACATTATTTTCAGCGGAGAAGCAACGTCTTCTGAGTAGTTGTCTTCTTGCTGGAGGTCATTCTGTACCATTTGTGACCGTTCTTCAGAAAGTTAAGGCATATATCTGCGAATCGTATTTGCACACTTTAATTCTCCTGTAACTGATTGGTGAGTTCCTCCAGTTTAACCTTTGTGGTTGTTTTTTCTCATGACTCCATTTCGGGACGTAAAGAGTGACGTAAATTGTTGCCTACAATTTTGGCAGACTTAACGTGTGCAAATACGACTCGCAGATATATGGCTTAACTTGCTGAGGAACGGTCACAAGCAGTAAAGAATAATAACCTTCAGCAAGAAGACAACTAATCAGAAGACGTCGCTTCTATAAATATCTGTTGATTTTCTCAGTAAACGATCTGTTGGCTGGCCCTTATCTTCTGTCGTTACAACTTCACTTACTTTGACTTTTTCATAGAAAAATAAGTCAGTTAAAACTGAAATTAGTTATTAGTATTATACAAAACTGGAAGTATAGATGAATAAAACAGAAGGTTAGGCGTGTGCAGTGTTATTATTTTAGAATAACTAGTTTGATAACATGAAATAAAGAATAACAAATATTGGGTTAACACTGTTTTATATTCTTATAAGTCTTATAACTGTTGTTAATTTTAAAAATGTAGCTAGTGGATAAACTGCTGCTTGAAAAATCTGCAAGTGGACGAATATACACGTAAAAGGCATGGAAAAGTAGGTTTAGTCTGTTTCTGTTCTTCCTGATCCTCTGTGATCTCCTGGAGTAGAATAAATTCTGGTGACCTGCTTAAATCACTGGGCTATGTGAATTATCTGTCTATCTAAAGGCATCGTTTTTTACTCCGTTTTAAGTAGTTTTAATCTTCTAATTACCCCAATAAGCCACGAAATATACTCGCACCCAACTTCAGATAAGCTTCTGTTTGCTGCTGCTGGAGGTTTTCCGGAAAGAAATCGAGGAAGAATATTGTGGAGCAGCATTGGAGCATACTTTGGATAGATTAGTATTGCTTCAGATGATGTATTATCGATTATTATGATCCTTTGAACAACCTTATCAGTAAGCTCTCATTTTATTGCCGGTATATGGATGACACCTTCATTCTTTGTGATAATGATTCGGATAGGAATACAATAATTACTGAATTCAATGAAGTACATTAGGCTATGAAATCAAAGTGTGAAGAGGAATCCCAAAACAGAATTGCCTTCCTGGATGTACTCCTTACAAGAAAACCAGATGGTAGCATAAAGAGAAATTTGCATGGACGTAGTACATGGACAGGACAATATACACATTTTCACAGCTTCGTCCGTCTCCAGTACAAAAGAAATTTAGTTAAGATCCTTAGCCACAGAGTTAGAGCTATATGCTCAGAAGAAGTAATTGAAGATGAATTAAGCATTGTATTTTATACCTTGATTGTAAATAGCTATCCCGACAAATTTATCAAGAAGTACATGACAAAGAAAGAGGAAAAGGACTACTCAGTATCCGTAAACAAGAAGCCTTTATATATACGACTGCAATTCAAGGGCGATATATCTAGCGAAATAATTACGAAGAAATTAAGAAAATCAGTTCAAAGAACTTTTAATACTGGCAAAGTACAAATTTCATTTTCTACACGACCGATGGTGCTACCTCGACTGAAAGATGAAGTACCTAGACTAGCCCTTCCAACTGTATCTACCAATTCAAATGCGCTTGCGATGGAGCGAGTTATATTGGCCGTTGCTCTAGGAACTTGATTTTTCGTGCTCGAGAACATCTCCCAGTATGGCTAAGTAAAGGTGTAGTAAAAACCATCAACAGTTCGATATTAGACCATCTGGTCCAAACCGGCCACAAAGCCAGCATTGAAGAATCCTTCTCTATCACCTATCGGGTACCAAATAAATTGCCAAAAACATCGAGGTACCGCATGCTCCAAACAGCAGAGGCTATCGCAATTCGCGTGAAACAACCAGTGCTCTGTGTGCAAAAGAAGCAAGTCCAGCCACTACTACTGCCCTGGCTGGCCTTCAGTGGAGACTACAAATTCATGAATTTGTATTATCATCTTTACTAATTTTTCTGACATTCACTTTATTGTTATGTTGATGCTGTTGAACTGTAATCTACTGATATTATTGATTCGATTTTATTTAAACAATATTCATGTTGTTAATAGCACTAATTCATTCATTCACTATGATGTATATATACTTGTAGAACCTGATGAAGAGCAGGTTATCGAAAAGAGTATTCTTTGTTCAGTAAACATTCTTTTGGAAACATTTTTTTGTTGCTGTAGAAGTTCATGACGTTTAAGACAAAAGTACAATGAAATATAATCTACTAGTCTGACGTATACACTTAGTAGACAGTGAATTATATACCGTACAAAAATATTGTACATTATTTACAAGAATACAGTTTAATATTACCATAGTAATCGCTAAATATATCTAACAAGAGAAAAAACAACAACAGAAATATAACTAATATAAGAAAAATAAATGAACAATATATTTTTTGCTTTATTCTTTGTAGAAGCTGAATTAGATAATGCAAATAAACGTCCAAGAACAACTATTTCAGCCAAACAACTTGAGGCTCTGAAACGAGTTTACAGTGAAAGTCCTAAGCCTGTCCGGCATGTTAGAGAACAGTTAAGCGAAGAAACTGGTTTAGATATGCGTGTAGTACAAGTATGGTTTCAAAATCGTAGGTAAGTTGAACTATTTACTAACAGTATTAAAGTAGTTGTTATTTAACCATATAGTCGATGAACCATCCTAAACTAGAATAAGCTAGAGACACAGTAAAGACTAATGAGCCCTTGTTAACATTTTTGTCACATTTGGAGACTCTGATGAAACTGCTGACAGAAATCTCAGCTGACCTACAGTCTGGCGTGTGACTTAATTTAAAAACTGTTTTCAAAGTTTTAATGCAAAATGGTATATGCCCTAGTCAACCAATCACATTTGCCTACTGATCGGCTGCAATATGTAGCCTCTTCGTCCGAGTAAACTCTTGAACTTCTAGCCAGCGGCTGAATAATAAATTGTTTTTTATGATAACTTTGTGCATCGGTGGCATAGCGGTTAGGACGCTCGCCAACCATGCACATGGTATGGGGTTCGATCCCCGGCTGATGCACTCCTTTACCTCGCTGAGCCAGAAATAATGCTGGTAAAGAGGAAAGGTTGGGCATGAGGCTAGCAACCCCATCCTGTAAAAAAAATAATCACCACTGCAACAGAAAATTCAAGTCACTCGATTATTGAAGCGGTCACACGGTTTCACCATGGAAGAATCTAGAATGAACACAAAATAGCACTAAATTACACCATGACTATTGCTCCAATATCTCATTTCAGTTATTGAAAAAAGTCACTATGGAAACAATTACTCTTTCATAGCGCACCTCATTAAATGATGGCCTAAACTATAATTTAAAGTTATAGAAATTTCTGAAGGTAGGCGTACTGAATGCATATGATTTTCTTGATATTTGATTTCAAATGTATTCCTAATATGGACTTCTTGATCAGTGTCCAGGAGAAAAACAAAGGTAGTAACTTTAAATTCTAGAGAGTATGTTAAGAAATCGGTCTCATTACAGTTGATTAATGAATTCTGTACCCTTACTAATTTGAACAGTTTCACTTATTTTTTTTTTATCTCTATTTCGTTCCATTGTCTTCATGTATTTTCGTTGGTTTCAGTAATATCAATATTTTTACGAGTTGATCACGGACTGATATCAGTTAGAGAACCATTGAAAACCAGGGAGCACTGGACAGCTGCTGTTTCATCCTAGTTTGGGAATCGTCGGCAGTACTCACCCACTAGGATTCGAACCCAGGACCTTCTGGTTACAAGGCAAGCCCGTATACCATTCAGCCACTGGGACCCGTTTCAATGGCTCACGAATTCGAACTTCTACCAATTCGTGATTTAGCGCGACCCCAACCATTGTCTTTGGTGGGACACCCATCCACACACGTGACATCTAATTGGACCTCACTGGTCACGACTTCTCACTAGAACTCCAGGAAACTCCATCCTGTAGCCAGTCACTCACTAGCGAGCACCAGATTAATTTTCTATAGTTTGGTTTGTAAGGGTTTGTTGTGTTGATTCCCAAACTAGGATGAAACAGCAGCTGTCCAGTACTCCCTGGTTTTCAATGGTTCTCTAACTGATATCAGTCCGTGATCAGCTCGTAAAAACATAACAAACCCTTACAAACCAAACTATAGAAAATAATATCACTATGTTGATTAATTTAGCTAATAACAAGTTACTGAAAAATTATCATTTCAAATGAAGATAGAAATTGTTCAACCAAATGAATGGATCTCATGATTCAACAAATTTGAGGATTACACTAAAAAAAGGTCACTAGATATTAAAAGGCACTGAATAGCTTTTGTACCATATTTCCTCGTCTATCTAATGAGTTTGAAGTAGGATAAAGTACACAGCCTGGCTTCCACTACTGTTCATCATCTATCGAATGACACCAAAGTGAAATTATTTCTAATTTAGAAGTCTGTTAGAAGTGGGTTCGAACCCGGGACCTTCTGGTTACAAGGTGAACTAACTCGTAGACCATTAAGCCACTTGGACCTGATCCAGTGGTCAGCCCATGAATTCCAACTTTTGTCAATTCATGACATAGCGCGATTGGCACTAGCCAATGTTACCACTGACGAGTATTTGCCATCATACCCGACCTTCTGCACCCTACTGGTCACGACCGTTGAAGAGTCTCAAAATAGTGTGACGAAACATCTGTCCGGTACTCCCAGCAGGCTTTCCAATTGCCCTCTAGCCAATGTCAGCTAATGATGAAATCATGTAGCCAATTAATCAAATCCCTACAAACCAATACTTGAGAAGTAAAACGCTTAACATTAAATAAAATGTACTTGAGGTAGTGTTTTAATTTGAAAAAGTTGTAACAATAGAAGGCAAGACAAGGAAGCTTAGGTATTATATATATAGCCAAATTATGTATACCTCATCTTCATCGTACCATTTGCGCAGTTCTCTGGACTTCCTTCAGATTGTGTTTCTTTGTCTTCCTTTCACGTCTCCCATGTATCTAAACAACACTGTGTCATTTGCCTTCTCTGTCATCAAATGTATCTCCCTGCTATTTGATGTTTTTGTGCCGATGAACCTCTCTTTATATACTACTGATAAATCTTATTAGTAGCACGCGCCACACTCTGACTTTAGCAACAAATAGAGTGTTCAAATAGATAGATATATATCATATTCTGTTGCTAATGCAGTATTGAACACTGTGGGAATATGTGAGAATAATATTCCGTTGGAAGACATAGTCTGTATCACACCACCACAATGTGACATGTTAAATAAATATTTCTTTCTTGGATGATACAGGATGATTTAGATCAGTGAGTATGGAGAATATTTCTTCTGCTCTGTTCTTATACTTATCAGTATTTATTGTCAGAGTGCATCTGAAAGCAAAAGTTAGCCAATCAAGTGATTTTTTTATTTGTAACTAAAAATAAAACAGTGCACCGAAAATTCTAATTACTTTGCTTATGGAGTGAACACTTAATCAAACAATTTAGGACAACACATTAGCGATTTGGTTGACACATGGATTATATTGTCTATTGACTGATTATTGTCATTGATCTAACATGACAGAGTCTGGTCAAAGTAAATGACTGACAGGCTGAACTGACGAGGATATCATCAAAGCTAGGATCGGGAAAACAAGGCAAGCTTTCATTACTGTCAAGTCTGTGTGGAGGTCAACAACATTCAGCATGAAAAATAGGATGGGGATTTTTAACTGCAATTTGAAGTCAGAGACATTGGCGCGTCACGAAAGTCATTTCGAACAAACTACAAACCTTCATCAACAGCTGTCTTAACCACACATTAGTGCTGAAAATTCGAATTTTGTTCTTTTTGCTGACTGTAGCAGATTTCCTCACTGATTTCAAAGTAATGAATGTCTGTCTTGCTTTTCAAATCCTGGTTTTGACATCTGCATTCGTCCAAACAGTTATTGTAACGGCGGTGCCTAGACAAGTGGAACAGGCGAATTCCTTCAAAATTTTCCCGTTAATGTTGATTCGTGCTTATTGTTGCTTGAGTATCTTCATCACCATTGTCTTCTCTTTGTTCACTTGAAGTCCTGTCTTCGTCACCTGCTCCTTATGCCAAGTTGTTAGTTTTCGCCTACAGATCTTCCAGTGTAAATGAGATGAGACATAAATCTTCCATGAAGTTCAGATTTTCCAGAGCCTTCTGGTTGGCCTAACTTATTCCTATCTTTAAAATTCCCATTACCTATCCCATAGCTCAGTCAACCACAATCAAGAATATCATCAGTGATAGCATGCAGCCTTATCTTACTCCTGTATTCACTTCAAAGGCTTCACTGTGCTTTGCGTTGCGAATTACTTGAGATGTAGCATGATTACATAGCCTTTGAATAAAGTTGATAAAAGTTTGGCGTACTGCATTCGTAGTGTTGAAGCAGTTTCCAAATTACTTTGCCATCAACTCTGTCTAATGCTCTTTCAAAGTCGATGGAGTTGATGTAGAAATCCCACTGCCATTGTGTACCTTATTCAGTTATGACGCATGATGCACACATGATTTGCTTTTCCTGAATCCAACAAGTTCCGGGCTGAGTTTTGCTTCCAGAGCATCCTTAAGTCTCTCCAGGATGATGTGGCCTAATATTTTTTTCTCGGCGTGGACAGCAGCTTGATTTTGCGAATGGTATTTAGTCAACTAATTCTAGCTAGATAATTTCGATTGATCTCTTTCTTTAGTAATTACTAAATACTAACAAGTAACTCAATGAGGACTCCGCTGTAATTTGATTTGACTCAAAGAAATGCAGATCAAATCGGATTTATATTAAACATATTTTTAGTAGAACTTGTTTAAGCTCAAAATATAGACAGTATCTAACTGAGCTACAAGAATCAGTTGCTCTACTTATCATATATAAGTGAAATATTTTAAGTATCTACCAATGGGATGATTACAGAATGTAAGCACAAAATATATTTACTCTACAACAGGAAAGATTTTTGGTTTAGGATAAAGAGGAGAATTGTTGGACATTCTCTAAGCTTTGATTCGTTACGTTTTACTAACAAACTAGATGACTTGGTCAGGTATCATCTTATAAAGAAGGTAAAGAGAAAATAATATTATTATTAATGTTGCTTTAAATATCACTTTTAGTATAAGATATGATTAAGTTAACATGTTTTGATATAAAATCCACTAAATTAAATAGGCAGTGATCACGCCAACAGGCGTGGATCATTCTCCTATACAAAATTCTAGTTAATTTCTTGGACTGCTAAAGTTTAAAATGATCAATTTGAAGAGAGAAAGGAAAAATAGAGGCCTCAGTCGGTAAAGACCAAGGTTGATGACTAACAGACGAACTTAACTGCTGAAATCCTACCACAAAATGTGTTTTCAGAACTTTCATGCATAAAGTACCGTTTATCAACAGAGACCACTTCAAGCATTGAAACCAGTGATAAAATTAATTATTAATTTACCATCAGGACAGGTACACGTGTACTCATATCTGAAGTGTATACTACCGATTGTAAATGTCATGGAATGTTGTCGTGTTTAACAGAGATGAAATCTATGTGGAACTGTTTAAACATTTCCTTCAGGAAAATTGACACCGCCACAAAGTTCCTTCACACTGAAAACATTACCGTTATCGTTAACAGTAACATTAACAAAAAATAAAATGTTCATATTGTGAATTGAATTTGTCACCATCGACGGTCTTTTCCTTACACTGTTCATCCTTCTAGTTGAAATATATTCAGATGTAGAGATATAAATATGCAAAGGTAGACTCATATCTTCTGTATGCAAACTATAAATAAAAAATGCTCACCCCTAAGAACAACAACAATGAGATGAAACTGCATTTCTTTACTCTGTTCCCCTCCCCTCTCCTCCCCTAAGCCACTTTTCCCCACTTTTTATTTCATGATATTTCTCCTTTTTTTATTTATTAAAAAACCACCTTCATTTTACACCAACCAGACATTCTTTATATATATATATATATATATATATATATGAGATATGTATATATATTTCTCCGTCTGTCTTTCCTTTTCCACTTTTCTGATTCTCTGTGTGCACAAAACCACGAATATTCCCCAAGGTAAATGACATTATTATTATCATAGTTGACGAGACTATAGAATTCTAAGGTTGTTGCTTACGCGGATAAGTTGAATTCTGAAATTCATTCATTCATTCATGCATACATACTACTTTATTTCGTTGGAATGCATAATTTATCATATAACCACCCTTGCAATAATACACCAAGTATGCATTAGCAGTAGTAGTTAGTATATACACATTATAGAGAATTGAAGCTTATGCATAATATGGCTTTCTCTGTCCATTTATTTATTCATTTATATCATATTGTGCATTTGTGAGTGTGAGTGACTGTGTGTGTGTGTTTGAGTTTGTGTGAAGTCTTTTTCAAAATCTCCACTTATTTTGCATATATCAAGATATTTAAGCCTTACGGGAATAAGTTGAAATGGGAGAAATTTATTTCTTGATTATTATTATTTTTCCCCAACACAATTTTTGTTCTTTTAAAAATAAGTAAATAAATAAATGAAATACTTCTCAAGTTTACCTCTGCTTTTAATTCGATATTCTAAGACTGAATTTTCAAGAAACGATCAAGAGTTGACATCGGTTAGAGAACCATCGGACGATGAGATGATGAAATCTTCCAACCAATCAAACAAAATCCCTACAAACCAATACTTGAAAATTGATCTGATGTTCACTAGCGACTGGATGTATTCAAGTTGGTAGTCACCTCGGGTTCTAGTGGGAAACCGTGACCAGTAGGGTACAGTGGGTAGAAGGTGAGGACAGTTACTCATCGAAGAAGACATTAAGAAATGGTCGCGCTATGTCGTGAATTGGTAGAAGTTGAAACTCATGGGCTGATCACTGGATCAAGTCCCAGTGGCTCAATGCTATACGAGCTCGCCTTGTAACCAGAAAGTCCTGAGTTCGAGTCCTGTTGGGTGGGGGCGTACTGATGAAGAGTTTCAAACTAGTGTGACGAAACAGTTGTCCAGTACCACCTGCAGGTTTTCCAATGGTTCCCTAACTGATGTCAGCTCATGGTGAAATCCTCCAACCAGTCAAATAATCAAGAGTTTCGAAAAACAGATTCAGGATCAAGGATGTATGTTTCACTTTATTGTGAAACTCACCAGCTGAATGTATTTTAATAAGTTCCACCACAGACACTAAATTTGAAATCCATCTTTCCTGAAGTTTAACTGTCATTTACGGGAGTGCTGAGTTTTGAAATTTAGGATACAACTACATTCAAATAAGGGCTCTTTTACAATAATGAACAATGTATGTTCCATTCCCATGATGCTTACTATTGTGTGTAATCGGTATTCGATTGTAAGTAATGCTAAATTACTTGTAGAAAAAAAACAGATTTCACACTGATAAAGAAGTAAAAATATCAAAGTTTGTCTGTTTTCTTAGTAATGGTATAGATAATGTAAAGTAACAGCCTATAGATAAGAGAATTATCTATTCAAAGGTTGTAGTCATCATTTCCTAGGGTGAACAATAAGTTTCAATATCACTTATCCCTATATTCATTGCATATGTTCAAGTTAACTTATCCAACTGCTTCAATTCTTCTGATTCACATGATGATAGCCAAATGTGAAACATGTTCACACCTAAGGTGACTTAGTTAATCTACTCAAGCATAAAGTACATGAACAAGGACTTTTCTCGGGAAGTTTAGTTTCAGAAACATAAGAAATTGATCTTCATGCATACATGTCACACACACAGGTCAGTGACAGCGTCTCTGACTGCAGAACTCACTGGGTGAAACGCGTTTGAATCTCAAAAGGGACATGAGTTCCTCCAAGGTTGTAGATACGCTTTGCTGACTGGTGAGTGCCAACTATCACGAGACCTAGGTGAAGCAAGGCTTCCTGTGGCCAATTGCCTCCAACCATCAAATAACCATAATACCGAAGAGTGTCGTCTATAGTGTAAAATAGGTAAATGGATTAGGTTGGTTACAACTGTAAGAAATACATCATGAAAAATATCTCCCAATACACGTAATATATTTCCGTTACCAAATCTCTTGTCATCTGCCATTACAACATTATCTGGAAAGCATTTTATCTCTGATAATATAAACATATGCCTTTACATATTGTAGAAATACAACATGAGATAAATTTATCAAATATATTCTATGTAAATTTATGACGGTTTCAACTACAAAGATAATGTTAGATCCCTTCGACGTTGACTAAGAATAAAAATCTGAATAGTTGCTAGTTGGTTGAAGGCAACCAACAGGAAGCCTTAGTGTGCGTCGGTGGCATAGCGGTTAGGACGCCCACCGACCATGCACATGGTCCGCTGTTCGATCCCCGGCCGACGCACTACTTTACCTCGCTAAACCAGAAATAATGTTGGTGAAGAGGAAAGGTTTGGCATGAGGCTAGCAATCCCATCCTGTAAAATAAACACTGCTACAGAAACTTCAAGTCACTAGCTTGAAGCCCTATGTTCCACTGGGGAACGTGAAAGAAAAAAAACAGGAAGCCTTGCAATTGGGTTTCGTGCTTGTTGGTATTCGTCAGAGAAATGCATCCGCATTCTTGGAGGAACTCATGTCCCTTCTGAGATTTCAACCGGGTTGATGAACCATGTAAAGTACAGAACAATTTCCTCTGTTATTTTGCAGTTTATTTCAAAATAATCTTGGTTCAGATCTAAGAGAGAATAGTTAGAATCATCAACTATTATTATTATTGTTCCCTTGAGTTCCTAGTGGAACATAGAGCTTCAACTGCACGCCTCCACTTGTTTCTGTCTTCTACTGTACTTTTCACTTGCATCCATGTTAGTTCATACTGTTTCAATTCCTCTTCACACGATCTCCTCCATGTCATCCTTGCACGTCTCACTCGCCGCTTCCCTTTCGGGTTCCACTCGAGCACTGGCCTGACACGCGATGTCACCCAACGGCCTCCTCAGCCAGTGAGTGTCCAATCCATCTCCACTTTCTCCTGCATATTTGTCGAGCGATTGGTTCTTGTTTTGTTTGTTTCCATAGTTTCTTGTTGGTGATTCTTTCCGGCCATCTGATCTTGAGTATAGAGCGAGCGAAGACAGTTGTTGATAAAGGTCTGCTGGAAGGTCTGTTGGAAATATTCTTTGTGACCCGCCAAGTTTCTGATTCGTATAGAATTTCCCTGAAGAAGTTCGGACCATTTTGCTGACGGAAACGTTGGAATTCCGCATTTCAATTGCGCTGAGATTTTACAAATATAATTTCTATAAATGTCTACTTCTCATTCGGTGTCCAATTATTTTGGAACTATTGGATCAAATCTTGATCACAGTTCATGTGAATTAATATGGAAGAAGTTTAACATTTTTTTATGATCGGAAAATTTGTATTTCTTGTGCGCGATTTTGATGTTACTGTGTCCACTGTGTCAGACGGTTTGATTATGACGCTTGCATTATCCTTCTAGACAAAATCCAGAAGGACAGAGACAACTTTCCAGATAAACCATCCAGCTCAGAGCAACACTAAAAGACGGTGAGGTGATAAAGACTGTAGTGAATATTGTGACTAGGAATCTTTTCTGTCTTGCATTCTTCGAAATTCCATTACTTAATTTTTTCAAATTCTTTTGTTTTTAGAGCAAAAGAAAAACGATTGAAAAAAGATGCTGGAAGAAATTTATGGTCAATCTCTGATTCACTGTTAGTCAATAGTACATCAACAAGTATAAGCAATACCAATACACCTGTCTGCATTAATGGATCTCATTTATTTTCAACAGGTTCAAATGATTTAGACAAACATTCCACACAGTATTGTGGTGATACATCAGTAACATTAGATGATTCGACTAGTGGTGACGAATACCTGTCTAAAGATGAATTCCAGCGTTCTGGTTTAAGTAAGTCTACACTCTGCTATATGCTCAGGCTGTTTAATCTTTATTAGCAAATGTGATTTAGAAGGACTAGGTATTTTGAGTCACTTCATTACTGGATAATTTATCTAAACTTATAGAGATAAGATATATGAATTGTTATAAAAGAAATTCATGCGTGACCTGAGTTCTATCCATAATATGACATTCACTTAAGCTTAGGTGTACATATTAGATGGTTGGAGGCAATCGGCAGGGAGCCTTGGACCTAGGTTTCGTGCTAGTTGGCACTCGTCAGCAAGGCGTATCTGCAACCTTGAAGGAACTCATGTCGCTTCTGTGATATTGAACCCGCGTTACCCAGTGCTGCAGTCAGAGACGTTACCACTGAGCTATTCAGGATCGCGATTGACCTCCTGTAGGACTGTAGTGGATATTTTGATTTGACACTAGTAACTAGTGTGATGCGTCTATTCCTCTCTTTGGTGCAGACTGAATTCTATCAGTCAGGTTGTAATGTGGCCACCATTCTAGGTAGCTCGCCATCACGTTGTAGATTGTTTGTGATGATATTAGATGGTTGGAGGCAATCGGCAGGATTTAATTCAGTTTTCCGCGGACGTCTTCCACTGGTAGAATTGTATACATCTCTTTACTGAATTGCATGTTTTGACGGTAAAAATAAGACTACAGTTTCTGTATAACTTTTAAAAGAGTAAATTGACGCATATTTTGTACACGACAGTACAGATAAACATCTTCCATAAATATTGAAGACATTTCTCGATAGTCTGTCCTAGAGAATTTCATCATATTTAAAACAAGCATATACCATATCTCATTTGGAAGCAGGTCCACTTGTATCAAACTACACAGGTGTAGTACCTCATAGAATAATAATGTTGGTTGGAAGTATCTTTACGGTTATTCTGTGCTCACTTTTCATTTACGGAAGTAACTGAAATTCTGTGGCGTTCAAAATCTAAGATGGAGTCTTTGTGAGAATAGGATTGATACAGTTTAGCGAGATATAATTTCATATTATATAAGAACAATTTTTTATTCACAAAATGATGCCACCTTGATATCCTCACGAAGAAGATAATGCACTTAACATTTTAACCATTTAATACTTTCTTCATTCTATGCTATATCTGATATAAAGGGGTTCAAATCAATGAGTATTTCACTTGCATTGAAATTTACTTAACATACTTTATATATGTATATATACATATGGATATGTCAGTTATAAGAATCAACTCTGATGTTTTCAGGTGATACGGATAGTGACTGTTCAAATGATCCTGAAGATACTAATGAATCGTTAGATCTTTCCATTATGGAAGATTTTTCACATCATAAACAATTGACAGACACAATATCCGATGAAAAATTACCAATCAATCGAAGCGAATATTCATATGAAAATGATACACTACCGAAATCTATCAGTTACCAGACAGCCTTTGAATCTACACTTTATAATACGTATCAAACAGTTGATCAAATAATTTCAAATAAAACTGAACAAAAGAATGAAACAAAAGCATTAGTATCCAGTGAAAAATGGTTATCTCCTCCAGAGTATTTTCAACATCAGCAGCAACAGCAGCCACAGACATTTCCAAGTAATAATCAATCATTTAAATCTGATAGTCTGAATAACAACATGAATAGTTCAATCCCGTTAGATATCAACAGACAGGATAATTCACCGCTTACATCAAATCCAATAATTTCAAGTTATTTCAATTTAAATAAACAATTCATGTTCAATGATGAACTGTTTATGAAAGAAACCTACTTACATCCTGTTGAGTACTTTCCTTATAGTTTGAACACGAACAGTTTGTCACAGCATAGTATTCCTCAGTCAAGTTCATCATAATAATAAGTAACCTTCTTACCAAGAACAGGTTGATACTGAAATAAATATAACTTCATGTGATGTAAATCATTCTCAGTCTACAAAAGATCTGATCTATAATTAATAAAATATTTAAATATACAATGGAATATATTTGAGATACTGGTGAGATGTGAAACAACTCGCATGCTATTTATTGACTTCATCATATTTTGTTTAAGTGAATAACAATTTTCTTTCAAGTAATTTGAATTGTTTCTGCTTTTCTCTTTCTAGAATAAGAAAATAAGGAAAATAAATTATCATCTTCTGTTTTATGATTTCTTCTTTAATTAATTAATGTCTTGCCTGTTTCCTTACGCATTCCATTTTGATGATTCCATAGAAAACTGGTTAAATTTCATGTGTTATCTAAAATTATTGGACTTGTGTTTCGACGTTGTTGTCAGTTGAAAACAAAACAGAATGGAATAGTGTTACGGACGCTTACTTATTTCCGACTGTAACTCGTTTTTTCTTCTTTTTACATTATTGTTACTGTTCAGCTTAGATTAATTTATATAATTTTGAAGGAAAAAAAGTATGTATACACACATCTTACTTGTAAGAAGTTCATTATTAATGAAACCTAGAGAAGCTTTTGTAAAAAAAAACAACCTTCAACAGCCCTGAAGTCTTATGACATTAGTCAAAGAAGTTACAAATTGTAACAAGAATGAATTATTGGTATGTTTTTAGTAGTTCTGTTTGAAAGAAGGAATTGTAGTCGTTAGCTGTGTAGACTTGTGAAATCAAAGTACGGGTATTTCAGAGTTTCAGTCAGTTAAAATGAACTCTCTGTGTGATTATTGAACACAGAGTTTTACGTCATTCACTTCCTCGCTATATCTCTTAAAAATTGTAATAGTAGAATCGGGTATCTCTCCGCTTTTTGTGCATTAGTGGCACAGTAGCTAGAACGCTCGTCGACCATGGACATGGTCCGGGGCTCGGTCCGCGGCCGACGCACACCTGATATCAATCGTCGGCCTGCTAAATTTGGGCTACTGTTATCGCATGCTGAAAATTCCATACCTGTGCCAAAATACTGAGTGGAATCAAGCTACTATCAGAAATATAAAAAAATATGTAAACCTTATCTTCAACACACCATTTGCGCAAATCTTCCATGTTGTGTTATTTATGGCCTTCCTTCATATTGTGTTTCCTTGTGCTCCTTTCACGTCTGCCATGTATCTTCACAACGCAGTATCATTTGCTTTCTCTGATATCAAATCTACCTCCTTGCTAACTGATGTATTTATGCCGATGAATACCTCTTCATATATATACTACTGATAAATCTTTTCAGTAGCACAGGCCACAAATTAAGTCCAGTAAAATTGAAGAGTGACTTTTTTGTAATAGTAATACTTTTAAAGTGCCATAAGGCGGTCGCTATACCTTTGGTTAGTTTTTCAAATTGATAGTCAAGTGAATTCAATTAGTGTGTGATACGGTAAAATCTTAATGTCTTCAAAACATTAGACGAAATAACAGAGGTAATAAAGAAGTGTGGTGTTCGTCACTAGGAGAAATGTCTTTGATTCATGAATTATGGCTTTTGACTTGAGGCATATAGACAAACGGACAGTCAAAAAATCAACGTAAATCGATAGTAGAATACAAATCCGAATCAGTCAAAAGAAGGTTTATCTTTATTTAGATTTGTAGGAACTTATAATCTTGTACTTTCTATTTTACTTTATTACTATTTCACTTTGAGTTTTTCTTCAGTTACCATCAATCTCATAAGTTTTCAATTATTTATTTGCACGGATTTGATTGGTTATAGGTTTGATAATGAGCTAACCTCAGCTGTTTCATCCTAGTTTGGGACTCTTTGGCAGTACGCGCCCACCAAGGTTCAGATGAAGGGTAACCATCTAGAGGGAAACAGCTGTCCAGCTTTCTCTAATATTCCATTGGTTCTTTAAGTGAGGTCAGCTCGTAATCAAATCTATAACCAACCTCATAAATGACACTGTTCTGCTTCTTGTTCATTGGTCTGTAGTATCAAGGGAGATGGTGAAGATGTTCTGTAAAATTCACTTCACGCATAACATGCAGCATTTCAAATTATTGACTTGGAAATTTCCATCTTTATAATCAAAATCTCTGAGAATTATAAGGAGAAAATACACTGCATTTTATCTGAACAATAAGAAAACTGGTTACAGGATTTCATCATGAGGTGACATCTGTTAGAGAACCATTGGAAAACCTGCAGGGAGTACTGGACAGCTGCTTCATCCTAGTTTCGGACTCTTCAGCAGTAAGTACCTACCACAGGCGTTCCAGTCAAGGACCTTCTGGTTACAAGGCAAGCTCGTAGACCAATAAGCCACTGGGGACAAGCTGCAATGGCCAGCCCATGAATTCCAACCTCTGACATAGCTCGCCTTGTAACCAGAAGGTCCTGGGTTCGAACCCTGTTGGTGGCTGAGTATTGCTGAAGAGTCTTAAACTAGGATGAAGCAGCCGTCAAGTACTGCCTGCACATATTCCAATGTTTCTCTAACCGATGTCAGCTCATGATGGAGTCCTGTAACCAATCAATCAAATTCCTACAAACCAATACTTGAATATAAAATCGATTCTTCTAGTTGCAAATTTCATTGCAATCCAAGATAAGGAATTCATCCTATTTAGAAATAATTGAATGAAAGCCTTTAAGTTCAAAAAATAGAAAATTTTATCTGCTAGGTCAGTGAACCACAGTGACTACATTCTGTGCAGTGAGTACAACTTTTCTATTTGAATATTATTGTCATTTACCATTATGCAAGAATTATGTGAACATTTAGATGAATATTTACAAAGGTGATAAATAAAAAATATAACAGTCAAGAGAATGTTAAACAAAAGTACGTTTTTTTTATTGAAAAAATTCACTCACTACGTTCTTAAACAATGTATAAATCAGTCCTAAAGTTAGGGCTTTCATAGTCTTTATTATAACGAAGAAGTCACCAGTAAGCGTATCATTACTAGATAGAAATGTTTTACATGTTATTGAAATCAATAGGAATATACCTGCTTGCTTTTCAAGTTAGTGTTTAATATGTTCTTATGAAGTAGGCAAAAAGCATTAGTAGATAGGAATCTAGCCGCAATAGTAGGAAACTTACTTAACATTCGATAGAAAGCACAATACACGACTAGACGATTCAGTTCGCCTCACCACTAATATCTCTAAAACAACATTTTCTGTTTTGTATTGTGTTGGCTTTACTGTATCTTATTCACTATCCCAATAGAGTTAGTTAGAATTCATTAATTTTTAGAAAATTTTTAGCAGAAATATAAACTTGTATGTGTAAATAGTCATTTAAACGTTGTAAGTGAACTTTCTTCTTCTGTTTACCAGGTTCAGTGCCATTTTATTCTAAAATTCATTTTGATGTTTACCGAAAAATAGGTGTAGTGATGTTGACAAGCTGTTGTAGAATTTGGAATATACTAAAAGCCAATGGTTATGAGGTTTATATATGCACCCATCTATACATTTTTAATGAGTTTTAATTGTGTACCATAGACATATCTTGGCGATAGTAATACGCTTTGTCATCAGATCCTCTATGTTATTCATATGTATATTTAATAAAGTATTTAAAAAGGGATAAATTGTCTCTAATTATAACAGAAATTCATTCAGCCATTTCAGTAAATAAGTAGTCTGTTGTAATTATAAACCTTATCATATGGCTGACGGTGATTTAGACTCTAAAATTATAGGAAACTTTAAAATGTGATTCTCTAATAATTCTGTTCGTTTGAAATCGGAACAAAAACTTCTGATAAAGTTGATCCTAATTTGGGACTCATCAGCAGTAGTCACCCACTGCCAGGGTTCAAAACCAGGACCTTCCGGTTACAAGGCATTGGGTGCGTACTGCCGATGAAACAGCTGTCCAGTACTGTCTGCTGGTTTTCAATGGTTCTCTAACTGACATCAGGCCGTGGTCAAACTCGAAAAACAAATCAACTTTTGGCAATAAAGTTTAGCTTTTCAAAATATCTGATAAGGAGAATCATTGTTGTGATTACACTGTAGTTATTGAAAAAAGATTTCAACATTATTGAGGCTCATCTTTATCAGGAAGACGACTGCTATGAACTCGTTGACAGCTGATATGAACAGGTGGACTTATACGTAGTTATAATAATACAAATGCAATGGACTAGTCATCTGAGATGCCAAGTACACCTATTCGCCCTCATTACCTTCAGCTTCATTGAGTCACGTAAATTTCAAAAGACAAAGACTGGCCTGTGGCTGTTAGGATACAACTTTATCAGGAAAAAGCACATCATATTTATATATATTTCTAACCACACTGAAATTTGGCTATGGCAGTGGAAAATAAATTTTTCTGACTGGTAGGCGGTCCTGCTAGGTCCACGGAAGACAAATATCTTGATTGACCGGTGACTGACCCAGGACCAAGGTAAGAAGAGATGAGAATTTACAGTCATCCGATCACAAGAACATTACTATTTCTGACCGTAACAGAATTCATATTGTTGATTGTCTACGTAGACTGTGTTTCAAGGAAATATTTAATTACTCTTAACTGATGGTTACGGATGTTTACAGAGGAAGGATCACTGTTATTTTGAGATTGTATTCCTTAAATACCCTGAAGATTATTTCTTCAATCATATTTAATTAAGTTCCATTTTTCGTGTTATTATTTCCCCCTCTCTGGAGAGATCACAAGGCTTCAAACTCTAAATTTTCAGTAGCTGTGGTGTTTTTATGGAAAGAGGCTGCCAACCCCACGCGCAACCTTCCCTATTTATTGGAATTACTAGTAAAATCAACGACGCTTAGGAGTGAAATGATTGACAGCTGAACCCAGACATCTTGAGTGGCTGAGGAGCATTCTACCACTAAACCACTGACACTAAAATTATCCAGTCGTACAGATGACACCAGATTCTAAAAGATTTTAGTCGTATCACAATAGATGATTTCT